TGCGTCAGGGTTAATGACAATGTGTCGGTCGTGTATCATCTCGTCTGGCATTTCAGAAACGGTGATGAAATCACGGACCCAGCGGTTGCATGCACGGAGAAGGCCGTGAAACTTCCGTAGAAGGACTTTGATCGAACGAACAGTTGCAAGGGGTGTATCGGCAGGGATGTCAAGACGGTTGAGACGGAGAAGCGTTGCACAGCGTTCGTCTTGCGGATCGTAGATGTAGATTTGCGCGAATGCGGGTTCATTTTCGGCGTCCGGGAGAAGAGGGCCCAAATTGTGGTGGAGCTGGCCTTCTATTCGTAGCATGCCTTGCCAGGCACCGGGAGGGTATCGTGTTTCTTTCACAGATTGTGATGCCAGTGCAAGGGCGTTGTTAAATTAACGGGAACGCGAGCGCAAGAGTCGCCCGTGCACGGTCTCAGATTCCCATAAACGGATGATTTCATGCTCCGGTGTTGCAGGCGGAGGATATTGCCAAAGGGCAGGTTTTATTTTCCCCTGTCTGCAACACAACATTGTCCATGCGTGCTCATGTTCCCATTTATGTGCCCCACAGTGAAGACAGGCTGTTCTTTCACCAAGGCTTGCGACACTGATGAGAATATGTTGAGCGATGAGTGTGGCGGTGTAGATGCGTGCAGTATTGATGTGCGCTTCAATGTGTTGAACGGGTGTGTCTATAACGCTGTTGTCTGAGCATTTGGCGTTGGTGTGCTCGTTGTTCTGCGGCGCGAGAAGATTCGGCTGTGACATGAAAGGAGCATGAATGAAAGAGAAATGGAGAAGGAGAAAACGATAATGACGGAAACAGGAGAAAACGATAATGACGGAAACACGAAAGACAAAACAATCACGACAAAAAACAGGAGCGAAGAGAAAAGGGCATGAGTTCTGCGTCGATGTTGAGAATGATTTTTTTTTCGTTTGCAAGCAAGACAAAGAGCACACACGGATCACCAAGAGAGGGAAAAGGGAAATGATGAAAAGGACGGCCCTAAAGCATTCATCACAATTGACACTCCTTTGCAACGATGGCACTTCCATACATAAGATGAGGAAAATCCGAATGAATCTTCCGCCGAAACATCTTGCTGTCCGCTTGGCCGTTGACAGGTGCGGTAAAGGAGAGGGACGAAGAGGGAGGCGGGGTCTCTCTCTCTCTGTGTCTTTCACCCTCCCCCGTCTTTGTTTGCGTGTATGGCCGAAAAATTATCTCTCTCTGTCTCTCTCTCTCTCTCTCTCTCTCTCTCTCTCTCTCTCTCTCTCTCTCTCTCTCTCTCTCTCT